GATGAGGATGAATGTTATTAGTCAATGTATTTATCATTTCTATGATACAGTAAGAGTTTTGTATGTTGTCTCCGATGATAGGACCATTTTAACAAAGAGAAGATTGTAATTCGCAAAATAGATTGATTAGTCTTTGGAAATGATACTTAAATCAAAGATGGCAATATAAGTTTCACTTGAATAGCCAGAGCTCTTTACTTTTCATTATCATATATTTAAGTAATGGTTTCATGAACGATGTCAATGAATTTGATTTCTTCCAAGGCTCCCAGTGGATATTATTTATAAAGTCATAAATCTGATAATTTTGGAGTCTTAGTCTTACTTTAAATATTCTTCATTGCAAATTGTAGGTTCTGTAGATAAAAATTGTCATAGAAGAAAATCCTAAGTTGTTGATGTCGCATTCTGTCTTTTTTTTATGTGCAAGTTTTGTAAACCTTTCCAGGGACAGGATTACTCGGGGGATTTACCAGAGCATCCAGTCATCCGGCAAACTCAAAATCTCACCTGAATTGGTAAGTAAAGTTTTCAGGCTTTTGGTTCTGTAGAGGTAACAATTGTTTTTGGGGAAATAATAGTTTACAGAGAATACTTTTCTTCTTCTTCTTCTTCTTTTTTTTCCTCTTTTTCTTCCTCGTTTTCTTCCTTTCTTCCTCTTTTTCTTCCTCCTCCTCTTCCTCCTCCTCCTCTTCCTCCTCCTTTTCCTCCTCCTCCTTTTCCTCTTCCTCCTCCTCCTCCTCCTCCTCCTCCTCCTCCTCCTTCTCCTCCTTCTCCTCCTTCTCCTCCTTCCCCTCCTTCTTCTTTCTGAAAAGGAAGCTAGTTTGTGGAAAGTAAATGATTTTGTGTACCGTGAAAGACTTTTAGATTGTAGATATTTTTCACGGAAAGTAAAAGGGTTATTCAATCTCGAGAAAATTGATATTTTTGACAAATATTTTCATAAATGAAGTGATATTTTTCTATTTATTTTACACTACACTTTGGTATTGCATTCAGATGTTGAGGTAAGAGAGGAGAGGCATACTCTATGTGTTTGTTTGTGTTTTTATGTCTTTGTGCCAGTGTCCTCACTTATTTTGTACTTTTTACCATACAGCAAGTCGAGTTCACAGCGGACGACCTTCGTGATTTGGGGGAGATTGGAAGAGGAGGTTTTGGCACTGTCAACAAAATGGTGCATCGCAAGAGTAACACAATCATGGCTGTTAAGGTGAGAGAGTGCCTAAGTACTTCTTTTTCTTACTTTTTTTTTTTCTCTCTCTCTCTCTCTTCCCTCCATACCTATCTTAGGTGCATTACTTTTTTTTTTACTCTGTATACATATACATATATATTTATATTTATATATACATATATATTTGTATATACATATATACATATATATACATACATACATACATACATGTACTGATTTCCTTTACTAGTTTCAGCATTTGAGACTGTAAGCTGTAGTTTTCTTTGACTTCATGTTAGTCTAAATCAAATGTATCTATCCAGCTTCAGTCTGTACATAGATATATTTTTCTTTCTTTGTTTGTTTTCTTTCTTTTTTTTTTTTCCTGTGTTTACAAGATTTTTAAATATTTTTCTTGTCATTTTTCTGCATGTAAAGTTTGCATCGTCAACATGTTTTCTTACGAAGCTTAATGTCTTTTTCTTTTCATAGCGAATCCGTTCAACAGTTGATGAGAAGGAACAGAAGCAACTCTTGATGGATTTAGAGGTAGTCATGCGAAGCAACGACTGCCCTTGTATTGTTCAATTTTATGGTGCCATATTCAAGGAGGTGAGTAAAGTGATTCGTAGTAAGGAAGATGATATATATATATATATATATATATATATATATATATATATATATATATATATATATATATATATATATATATATATATATATATATATATATATATGCATATATATATATAATAGTTTAATGGTTTGTTCTGAAATTATTTAACAAGAAAAAAAAAAAAGATTCTTCAAAATGTTTGCCAGTACTTTGTATATTTATATGTTGTTAGAAGGAAATACATAGATGGTTTTATATACACACATTTTTACATATATAAGCACACAACACTGTTTTTTGTAATTTATTAATTTTGCTTGGTATAGAACAAAAGATAAGCCTAATATTTAATTTGTATTCCAGGGTGACTGTTGGATATGCATGGAGCTTATGGACACGTCACTTGACAAGTTCTATAAATTTATATATGAACGTTTACATGAACGTCTTCCAGAAAACATGCTTGGAAAAATAACTGTTGCAGTAAGTGTTGCTGTTTATTATTTGGAATATATCTTTTTAGACCCAAAGCAGTTGTTTATTATTTGGAATGTATCTTTTTAGACCCAAAGAGCTCTCATCAAAGAAAATGTAAAGTCACCTTTTAAAAAAATTTTACTTATTAATATTTCTTTTTTTCCAGACACTAACAGCACTAAACTATTTAAAGGAGAAGTTGAAAATAATCCATCGTGACGTGAAGCC